TCCAAAATTGTGAACGACCTGAATATTATATCTTTGAGTTATTTCCTGTACCACTTTTATTATATTATTATGAACTGTTGTTGGCTATTGATGTTGGACTCTGACCTTTGTCCCAGTTCGTCACTACTTTCAACATAAGGTTGTGTTTGTTACTTATTGAGTACATGGGGTCGGTTGTACTCATATTACACTTCTGCACATTGCGTGCAAATGTTGGATGCAAATGTTGCTGTGCACGACGAGAGTTGGATTTGAAATTGTACCGGCGTTGCAGTTACAGTTGCCTCTTGTTCATGGTAGCTCTAGACTTATGAAAGTATGTTTATGTACATTTAGAGAGAGGATGTATTTATTTCATACTATCTTTGTAAACCTTAAATCTTAGAAACTCATGACTTGTACTGCGAGTCCTTGGGGAGTTGTATAAGATTCAGTTATCTCATCTTTGATTCACTTCAGTGTTATTATATTATCTTATTTTGTTAATTGGCTTACCTAGCAAGTTGTGTTAGGTGCCATCACGACGATTTGAATTTTGGGTCGTAACAAGATGTTTGGATATCATCATATGTATTTTGTTTGTTCCACTTCGGACTATTTCGGTTTATCTTCATTAATATTTTATTTTAAATTGGTAAAAATTGGTTAAATAATCTAGCTAATGTTGGCTTGCCTAACAAGTGAAATGTTAGGCGTCATCACGGTTCCGATGGTGGGATTTCAGGTCGTGACAAGAATCGAAAATTCATATTTTAGAAAGAGAAAAAAAACCAAAAGTTGAGATTGGGAAATTACATCATCTATATTTTATATTAAATGTACGAAGGACTTTAGCGAAATGTCATTCGTTTTTTTACCCTTTAAAAATAAAGTTTATTTTAGGCAAATTAGTCATTTAATTATATTTTTATTATTTAAGAATAATTTTTAAAAATATTTAGGACTTTTAAAGTAATTAAAATTTTGGTTATTAAATATTTCCTTGAATAATGTAAGAAGTCCTACTATTTCGGACTTTAAAAAAATCAAAATTTAGCGTTTATATACGTGGATTTCCTAAGCTAATTGGAACAACTCTTACAGTAAATTGATTTTAGAATATCAAATTTTTAATTAGCACGACAAATGATTAATCTTTGTTATCACAAGTTTATTTCCTCTTCAAGTGAAATAGGTTAGTCATTGAACTGATTACTCTTGCATTTGATTTGTTTGTTTGTCAAACTTGAAAACTATTTAGTAGAATGTCAGTGTAGCTATTTATTGAATTCTATAATATTTATTGTAGTATTGAGATCACCTTCATATAGAATAAATACATCCTAATTCCAAAATAGATTAACCCTCTCATGATAGGTAATTAAAATATCTTCCTTCCTCAAGAAACAAAAACATCTTCTTTTATTGAAAAACAACGAGGATTTTGTTTTTGAAAAAATTAGCTAGTGTAGGTTCGAAGAATTGTTTTGAAAAATCCCATTTACGGCTAATTGATACGTTTTGATTTTCAAAAACATATGTTCTCAAAAATAAAAATAATAATTATTAGAAAAAATCCTAAAAATAATTAACAACCTAAATATTTATGGACTAATGTGTATAAAGTTAACTGCATGCCACAAAGTCAAATATAATTGATTGACATACCGACTTAAAATTTGGTAAATTAGCAATGGACTATATTTGTTGGTATTCAAATTAATTATGGTATTCTTGTGAGACGCGAAGGAAGAAATTATGGGTTGATCAAATCTGAACTAATGAAGTCATTTAGATTTATGTTTTCATTAATATTTTATTTTAGAATATTATCTTATTAGTGTTGCCATTATATGTTTGAGAATTGTATGGTAAGACAGGAGAATCAAATACGACGGGTACGCTAATCAATAAGATTAATGAAGTAGCAATATTTTTTCGTCTATTTATCTTGCTAAATATGGTCAACATTAATTATTTTCAAGAACTTACACTTTTTAAAATTTTATTTTATAATTCAAATATATTATTTAATAATATTTATTTAATTTTTTAATTGTATATTTATAAATATATGTACACACGTAAAACACGTACCCTAAAGCTAACAAAATGTTGTTCGTCTATATACCCTTTAAAAGTAAATTTTATACTAGAAAAAAGAGTTATTTAATTATCTTTCTAACATTTATGACTTTGCTGTCAACTAAAACTTTCCTTATTATAGTTTTACTTATTTGAATTACTACATAGAAAGTCCTGATATTTAGGACATCAAAATCAATTAAATTTTATCATATAAAAATCAAACAATTTATTCATAATATTATTTTAATTATTGTAGACATCGAAATTTTAACGGATCAAGCCCATACGAGAAATACGCTGCTCCAACCTTCGAATCACTGAGATAACCAGGAGAGAAGAATCAATATAGAATTGTACTCACGAATACTTATCAATAAAATATCTTCCTTTTCATATTTTTATTGCAATTTATTTTTCGTACTAAAATCATTTATTGCAAACAAATTGGCACGCCCAGTGGGAGCAGTCCTGCTCTTCATCTCTTCTTCCTATAAATTGAAAACTACAAACTTCAAAATTATCTGTTGCGATGGTAAGGTACTTTAGGTCTCGTCTTCAAGTTTCAGCAAGCCTACACCCCTATAAAACTTGAAGTATGAGACATTTGTAGACATCAAAATTTTAATGGATCAAATCCATACGAAAGTTGGGTTAAATCCTAAATTCAAGAAACTATAATACGGCTCTTGAAACCATAGGAGTCCATTAGGGTTCCTTGGAGGCTACTCTACCCGAAACCCTAATTCACATCTTTAAAAGGGGTCACATGTTCCCTTTGAAGGGATCTAAAAAAAAATAGAGATCATCTTGAATATCTCATAGACTCACGAGATACTCACAAAGAGATCAAGTTATGGTCGGATAATTCTTGATAATCAAATACTTCAAGAAGATCTACAACATACTTTCATGGATATCAGATACATCCAAGTAAGTGCGTATCATTATACATTCGAGAAACACGCTGCTCCAGACCTCGAATCACGAAGATAACAAGGAGAGAAGAATCAAGGGATACATAAAATTGTACTCACGAATATTTAACAATAGAATCTTTTTTTTTTCGTATTTTTATTGCGGTTTATTTTCGTTACTAAGAAAATTTTTGCAAACAATTGTATGTTGACATACGAACTAGGAATTTGCATATACGAAATTGACAAAGCAATTTTAAAGTTCCATTAAACCTACACTTTTCTAGCAAGTTAGATATATAAACTATTATATATGCATCAATTTTGTTATGTCATTAAAAGTACAGTCCATGTTTTGACTATTTTAAAAAAATTATTTACTCAATAAGATGAGAATACAGACAAAATGCATATTCTAAGATTTAGTATCTTAAAATGCATCTACCTTTAATATAAGGGATTATTTAGTACAATGGTTGGATATCCCATAGAATGGAATATCCCATGGGACTAGTTATTCCACATTTTATATGAGATAACTAATCTCATCATTTTAATATAAAATATAAACTCGAATTAGCTAATATACCAAACTAAATATAGAATAATCTCAAAATTTATTCCGGAGATATTATCATTATGTCACGTACCAAATGACCCTGAAAAAAAAAAAAATTATCATAATCAAAAGTCAAACACCTCTTTGAGTAAGTTGTGGTTCCATATAATAATAATAATAATAAAAAAACTAAAAATAAGAAGGAGAAGACCAAAGAAATTTTGGGCAAAGAGAAAAGGCGACAAATAAAATATCTAAAACACCCATTTATTGACGTGTCAACCAATTACTCTTCTGTTTAACGCAGAATATAGAAACTTCAGCCCACCAACTTACAGATATTTTAGTTGCCTTTTTCAATTTGTGTGTCAAAATATAGTTTTGTAGCCTAACAAGTAGCCAAAGTATAATTTCTATTTTGTCTAGCCAAACTAGAGCACAATTATTAGTGCATGGAGTACAACAAAATTTAATGCGTACAACAAATTTAATGCGTAGTCTGCTATGTCAGGAACGAAATTTCTCTAGCAGTATCACCACTTAACATGCATTTGATAACATAGTAACTTCGATCTTAACAAAAGAAGAAAGTTTAAAAGGTTCAAATTTTATTTGGAAAAACTTATGTGTACTAATTATGTAATAAATTTTAAATTTTTAATAGATATACACAAATTTAAGAATGCAGAAATACAAATTTTTTTCTTGAAAACAATAGAACCGCAACTGAATTTATTCAATTATTTGCATAATTTTTCTTAACTATGAGAATTATATAAAAAAAAAAAACCAAATGATTCTTTTGATCTCCATACTTCTTGTTATATAGAGTAATCTATAGCCTGTTTGGCTAAGCTGGAAAATTCATTTTATTTTGAGAAGTGTTTTTAAAAAAAAATATACTTTTGGAGAGAAACAGTTTATGTTTGGCTAATCACTCTGAAAAGCACTTTTGGGCAATAATTTGTGTTTGACCAATCTTTTCAAAAAGTGCTTTTAAGTATCAAATCACGAATAAGGACATAAATAGATTTACTTAATAGTTAATATTATAAGTAAATAAATAATCTCAAAAATTTGTTATTATATGTAATAATTAAATTTTTTTATTTTATTTAAGTAAAATATGAAAATAAAATAAAAAGTACTTTAATTCTGCTTTTGGGAAAAAAATATTTTTTTCTGCCTTAAGTTAAAAAATAAGTGCTTTTTGGATTAAAAAAAAAGTACTTTTGGCCTTAAGTAGTTAGAGATGTGTAAAATGTGCCTAAGCTGTTAGAGCAACATCAAATAGTCATAAGAATTATAAATTAAAATAAAACAAACATAAGATTAATTATTATTAACAGATAATAACATTTACTAATTGATAAAACTGATATGATACATTAATTTTATTTTGCAAATTCACAATATTTTATTATTATTCTCATAATAGGATTTTGGTCCGGTCGGAGGACCTCTTTCTCCCTTTCCATACCATAAAAACCGTTTGCGGACACCGCTAAGCGATTCCTTTTACTTTCTCTCTCTACACGAACCAACCCAGGAAAAACAAAAAATAGTTGGATATTAAATTCTCTAAATTACCTTGAAATTGTTATTTCATACCATTTTCAACCTCTTTCTCTATTGGTTTTTTCCCCTCCGGGTTAGTCGCCTTTGTCATCTTTTCCCTACATGATCTCTGGCTTTAAGTTGGACTTTCTTAAAAATTTTATTGTGTGAATGGTGCGTGCTATTTTTGTACTTGTTATGTATCGGCATTGGCGTTGCAGCTTTGGAATTAGGGTTTTGATGGGTTGGGTAATGTTAGCTGCTCAGGTTTTCATTTTTTGTGCAAAAGGGACGAATTTTATGTCTCTCTGCATTCACACACACGCACGAAATATAGAGCTGAATGTAGTTAGAGATAATCTTTTCTTTATTAGGTTCGCATTTTGTCTATATCTTATGCAATTTAAATTGGCTATTTGGTGTTTTTCTTTTTTGTTTTTATCCTAATTTTCTCTGGTTATGTACTGTTGAATTGGTTAAGCTTCTTTAAGTATGTAGATGCAGCTGACATATAAGTTGTGTTTCCTTTTTTGGTTTACCTTTTTTTTTTTACTAAGGTTGAATATAATGGCTTGTAGAAAGAGGGATTTGTGCTCTTTTAGTTAGTTTGTTAGTAAAGAAGATTATTTTTTGGGTTGTGCACTGTTGAATTGCTAAATTTTCTGTAAGTGTGTTTAGGCAATGGTTTAGAAGTGGGTTGAAAGAGCTGCTTTGTCTTGTTTTATCTTAATTAGAGAAGAGAATTTTGGATTATGCTTTTTTGAATTGCGTAACGTGTAGATTGGTAATTTGAGTATTCATCTCTATGCGGTTTACTATCCTTGATCGGGTGGGCGATAGTGCCTTTTTGCGTGTCTGGTTTCTGAAAAACTTGTTGATGCCTATTTTGATTTCTTAACTGCTATTTGCACTCACAGATTACTGCAGTGAATTTTTGTGTGTGGGTATAAGGACAAATGATTGTTGAGATCTCTACTTTCTCTGAGTGTTGCTAGGTAAAACTGTTGATATGCTCGCGCAGTCATCAAAGTTCACCTGTCATGTATCCCAATTGCACCACTAACTCATCTTTCTCTTTGCAATCACCTGATCCCTGTAGGATCAAAGATGATGATGTTTCTCAGAGAATGGTTGCATGTGATATTTCAGGAACTGATGTCGCCACTGCTACTTTTGGCTCAATCAGCATAGCCGAGGTGTCTTTACAAAAGAAGAATTATCAAAGTAAAAAAGACTATAAAAGTTGTTGATACTTTAGAAAGTAAATATCCAACAGCAAGTGTATCTCCTGTCGGAGGAGGAGTGGATGCTAAGCTAAGTTGAGCCAGAATCAGGCTACAATACCAACAAGAAGTGGCAGGAGAAGAATAGTTAAGAAAGCATTTCCAGATTTCAATTTCTTGCAAATTACAAGAAAATTAAGCTATTGCAGTAAGCACACCCGTTCATCAATTTGGGGTTTGCTGGGAAATATGGTGCAAGCTGTTGAACACAACAGCGCACTCGAGATAGCTCAAAGTGAGCACATAAAATCAAAAACAACAAAGAATGGTCAGGAAAATGAGAGGCAGGGTAAGAATCACACTGGTCAAAACTCGCGGAAATCAAAGGGAAAGATCTCCATTCCTACAGGCCCAATCACCTTGAAAGTTAAATTTGGTTCACGTTGCCTGATGGATGTTGTTCCTCTTATTGATGATCACACTGGCAAACAGTGCACTATGGGAAAAGAGTTCAAAGAATTGCCAAATGTTGCCAGGAATTTTGATGATCAGCTGAAGGGAGAGTTGCCCAGTCTGCAGTTCCGCAGGTGCAATGGGAATTTGGATAATGCGTATGTTTCTGTATCAGACATATGCCAATCTGGAAAGAAGATCAGTCAAAATTCAGTGGACAAACTCTTGGACTTTCACAATGACTCATTTTCTGAGGAGGGGACATCAATTGATAACAGATGCTCAGATGCTGGAACTTCACCTGACTCAGAAGTTATCAACCTGGTTCCGGATACTCAATTAAATGAGAGAGGCCGAGAAGAGTTGAATGATTTAATTATGCCTAAGCCATCTGTCGCTCCTGGTGATGTTCTGAGTTTGCGTGTGTATGGCAGGAGCAAGAAAGGAAGGAAAATAGATAGTCTCCCAAAGTTAGCCAGTTCTGGTGTGAAAGATCTGCTTAGTCCAGATAGTATAAGCAGTTCTCAAATATTTGGGCAACTCATCCAAGGAGAAAAAGTACAAGGGGGATCTTGTTGTTCTGATACTTCTGCTCTGACACCAGGGCGGATTGGCTCAGGCAACATATCGAGCACTGAGATTGTTTCAGGAGAACTGTTACCTTGTTCAGGAGTGTCAGACATAAGTATCTCCTGTGCTACTTCAAAGTCTGAAAGTGGCATAGAGGGTAATATTTGCTCTAGCCTTGGTACTGAGTCACCAGAGACTGAGTTGTTGTCTGAGAAAAAAGTATCCTCTCATGATGGACAAAATGTTCCCAAAGGTGAAAGATCAGATGTATCTGGCAAAGTCAGGTCACAAGTCCCGAACCCTAAGTCATCCAAAAGTAGAGGAAGTTCTTCTAAAAAGAAGGGAAACAAAGAAAAACAAGATAATAAGCTTGAAGTGAAACATGAGAGTGACCATGTCACGAGTTTATGTGAGATGAAACACCACCAAGAAACAGGTATGGTTAAGATAGTGGAAATATGATTTTAATTTTATGAGTTCAATATCGTTGGGCTGATCTTCATGCAAAAGTAGTATTAAATGACCATATTAAATTAATGTCTTAGAAAACGAAGCACCATACGGGTTTGGAGAAGTTGGATCGAGATATAAAACCTTAAATGGAGGCATTTCAGACTTGGACATTACACGGGGTGTGGTCAGTCAGCCTTGTTTACAACCAAGAAATGCCTGGGTGCAGTGTGATGATTGCCTGAAGTGGAGGCGTATAGCTTCCGAACTTGCTGATCAAATTGATGAAACAAACTGCAAATGGTATGTGGTTGCTCGTCCTCCTCGTTATGAATGTGCTGATATTTCGCTTTTCCTATTAGTTTTCTGCTATGCCTCTTTGAAGTTTGCTGCTGTAAGAAGACTTTTTTCCCGTTACTTTGAGAACTAACTAAGCAATTTTTTATTGGTAAATTGCACTAGCTCACACTTGCATCCCTGAATATGGTGTTGCTTGGGTTAGAAAGCTAATAAAACATGATCCTTGACCCTTCTGTTATCGAGAATGAAAAGAAGAAGATGAGAAAGTGATTTTATAAGTTTTTCCCTTCTTGGAATCCATAATTTAATCATCAGCTTCTGTTTATCATGACCAGCATGCAGACCTTTGATGCTTATTGCTATGGGTGATTCTATATTGAATTATTGAGTGAAATTTAATTACATGCTTCCTTTCCTACCCGATCCAATTGGAAATAAGCCCCTTTTCTGTAGGTATTTGTGTCTAATCACTGATTTATTTAGGTAAACTTTGCAAAAAAAGAGTCACATAATGACTTGGGGATCCTAAGTTAGATCCCAGCGTCAAAAGTTGGTTTGAGCCCATTTCCTCTAGCCTTAGTTGGCAGGATTACCTTGGAACTTGTGCCTTGGCTGGAATGCTGATTGGTTAAGGTGCATGTAAGCTAGCCGGACACCATTAATGTGAAAAAAAGCAAAAAAGAAGGAGAAGAATAAGAAGGGGTTGCATTCATTTACCAACTTTATTTACTACCTTATCATAAAAATCATCTACCAACTTTATTGACAAACATACTACTCCCTTTGTCTCAATTTATGAGGCATTCTTTCCTTTTATTCTGTCCCAAAACAATGTCATACTTCCTTATTTAAAAACAATTTTAACTTTAAACTTCCCATTTTACCCTTAATGAAATAATTTATAGCCGCACAAATGTCTATGACTTGATGCAGACCACAAGTTTCAAAAGTTTATCTTTCTTAAACTTTGTGCTCAGTCAAACACGCCACATAAATTGGGGCAGAGGGAGTAATACTTTTCTTTCAAGATTTTAAGCTACTACGTGATATAGTATTATCATATTATAGCAGAAAAATTATATATTGTTTTTGTGTATAGATCGTCTCGTGCAAACTGAAGTTCACCCATTAAAAGAATACATACTAGATAGCTATCAGGTCTACAATTGTGGTTTTATGGAATATAATGGTCTTCTACGACTAATCTGTTCTTACTGCAAGTTTCTTATAGTATTTGAATGTTGAAATATTTGAGGTTTGCTAATGGATCTGCAAACTATTGTGGTTGTGCAAATGTGATGTTTGTTTTTTCCCAAGAGTTTGTTGCTTATATGTATCCCCTGTAACATTAAAGGACTTGTAAGGATAACTTGGATAGAGACTTTGCTGATTGCTCGATTGCACAAGAAAAATCAAATTCAGAAATTAATGCTGAGCTGGAAATATCGGATGCCTCTGGTGAGGAAGATGCCCTCAGTAGACACTTGAATTCAAATCAATCAGGACAGAAGAAGGCACTTGGTATTTAATGATTGTAGTATTGCAATGGCGCTGGTGTTGACTATGAGTAAATTTTCATTGAAGACATTTGTGCTAATTTTCTTATCTTCCTTGCATGTCTGCGTTGCAGTTGCCCATCAATCATCTTGGACTCTGATCAGGAGAAACTTATTCTTGCATCGTAGCCGCAAAAGTCAAACTATTGATGAGGTGAATGGTTGATCCACTCTGCATTATTACCTCATACACTCTGGGCCTGCATCTTGAATAAAAAATAACAGGAAAATAAAGGCCCATGTTGCAGTGGTTTTGGAGCAGACTAGTCTCTAAATATAAAAATTCATCAGGAAAGAGTAAATGTAAAGCTGGCTTTACCCTAACACGCACCAAATAATTAACCTACCACTTTTTCTCTTAAAAACTAAAGTTATTTTCAGCAGAGTTGCTTCACTCTTAGTAGAGTTGCTTCATTGTCACTGTTGTTGTCCATTTCACAAATTTAAAACATTTCCCTCTTCTCCAGGCGTGGCAAGATGATTAGATGTTGAAATAAGAATAATAATTCGGGGAGTCATGTTTTTGAAAACATATAGTTATGTGTATTAGGAAGGGGAGCCTTGGCGTAACTGGTAAAGTTTTTGCCATGTGACCAGGAGGTCATAGGTTCAAGCCGTGGAAACAGCCTCTTGCAGAAATGCAGGATAAGGCTGCGTATAATAGACTCTTGTGGTCCGGCCCTTCCCCTTATTGTTAACTTGCTTGATTTATAACTTTCTGCTTGCTTTGGAATTCTCCGGCCTTTGGAGTTGGTTATTCCTTGAGATTAGCTGTTGAATGTTGCTTCCTACATTACATAACTCTTATCAATCTTCTCCTTTAGCATTGTCGAAGTCTTTTTGAAAAATATTTGGTCAAATGTAACTCTAAACTACCAAAATCATTTTGTCTCTTATATGCTCCTTTTCGCATTCTCTGTCTGTCTTTCCTTGATGTTGTCTTAGCTTTAAGCATACTTTTGGCTTGAAAAGCTGTTTTAGGTACTTAATTTGAAAGAATATTGTTTGTGCCTACTCTATGGTTCCCTAAAATAATGACCTGGTTAGTGGGGTGCCACAATGTTTACGAAATCTTTAAAGCCGACAAAATTTAACCCTGGATGTAGACATTACTTGTATGAACTAGTTCACTTTAAGAATATTGCATGTTGACAAGGGGGCTGGTGCTTCTGGGTGTCCCTTCAATGATGTCATCAAAAGGCAGTCTTCGATATTATCAGTATCCTTAAGTTGAATGCTAAAATGCATTAAAAATAATAGAGCAGTAATTTACTTCTAAACGAAAGCAACTTCGATTCACACTCAGGATGTAAGAGTTATATAGTAGGTGCCCAAAAGAAAAGGACCGCAATCCCTGAGTTAATTTCTCCTTAGCAACACTCTTTTCTGGGTTGAGCTTTCCAACAAAAAGGTGTTTTGTACTCTTTCAGTATTAATTGTGGTTTCTTTGCATTTTCAAACTTATTATCTAGTATGAGGGAAGCAGGACTTCTGAGCATTGTGTTAGCAAGTTCGAGTTTGTAAAGATAGAAATTTTAAGGGTTTGTAAAGATTCCTTAGTGATTTCTGCAGCACCAAATCATTTGTTTATACTATTGCAGCTGAAAAATAAGAATTTTTAGTTGTCAATACAGAGGCGAAATCCTTGACTGACATTTTATAGGCCTTTCGTGACCATTTTTAATCTGAATCAAAAGTATATGATGCACGACATTGTCATAGTTTGTCCTGCTCCTGAGGTAACATATTTGTACATGTCATAAGGAATCTTTAGCTTCTAACATCCTTACCTATCTGTATTTCTTTGCATAATGGCAAATTTATGAATATGTTCGGAGTTGCTTCCTTCTCTATCTTCTATATCTTCCCCTGTTATCCTTTTCTGTTAGATCATGGTCTGCCATTGCAACCCTCCTTCACATGGCCGAATGGGCTGCGGAGATGGATGCCTGAATCGGATGCTCAACGTTGAGTGTGTTCGAGGGTCTTGTCCATGTGGAGAGCGCTGTTCGAATCAGCAGGTTCTTAAACTTGCATGGCATTCAAGTTTACTGTATATTGCTTATATTATGCAGGTTGTGTAACCTCCATTTATGTCTGCTTACAGTTCCAGAAGCGTAAGTATGCTAAATTGAAGTGCTTCAAATGTGGAAAGAAGGGTTATGGCCTGCAGCTGCTTGAGGATGTCTCCGAAGGGCAGTTTCTTATAGAATATGTTGGGGAGGTGAGTCTGCGATTCACAATATTTGACCATCTGTGCGAGGTAAAGATGGAAAAGGAGATATAAGACATTTGTTTTTCCCACACTAGTCTTAACGAGGTTATCCTATAATCACTTCTTTTATCTCTATAATATTGTCCTTAAGTCTTGGTTTTGCAATGGTTCTCTTCCTGCCATGTTTTATTATCCTACAATATAATTGTTTTGTCACTCTCTCTAACCTTTTCGCCTGTTCAGTTAGTCTCTTCTAGATACACGATATTATCTCTTCCTCTTTAGAGTATCTACTAACGTTCACTTTCCTGTGAACGAGCATATATATTCCAACTACTATCTGAGTTCCAACTCTGTCGGACTAGCTTCTTTACCCTCTTACCCTCATCCGTCCATGATGCGGAAGCCTTTTATGTCTTATAGCAATTTGCAAATCCGAGTGTCAATGTGGTCGGATTGACTTTTCACTCTCACCGTCTCCGTGATGTGGAGACCATCGACTCATACTCCTGCACACCCAGATGTTGTAATGGAACCCTATGCCCATTTTGCAGCACACCATGGTATTGCTGTAGTGTGCACTCCTAGGACAGGGCATCCTGACACATTCATTATTATGGCATTCCTCATAACTTACCTTTTTTTAAGTTGGCACCAACCGCACCTTTATATGGTGTGGCCTCTTGGTGCTAGAGATGCAAAGCTAATAGGTTGTGAATTTCACATAGCAGAATTTATTCGTAATATAGTATTAAAAAGTAGGATTGGAAGAGGATACCAACCTGTTGGCTACCATCCATCTATGTTTTGGCAGGATAGCAATTTGATAATTCTTTTGACTTCTATATGTTGCCTGTTCATCTGTTTGTGTGAGATAGCGCAGTTTCCCATTGCATATTTTATATATAACAGGTGTAATTATAACTTTTCTAGGTCCTGGATCTGCATGCGCACGAGGCAAGACAAAAGGAGTATGCCCTGAAGAGTCATAAGCATTTTTACTTTATGACACTTAATGGCAGTGAGGTATTACTGTTTGCCTTGGTTCTTTTTTGTGTGTGTGTGGGGTGGGGGGGGTGGGGGGTGGTCAGATGAAGTTATGAATTGTCTTAACTGGGTACATATCCTGTTATCCAGTCGTCTATACTTTGTGACATTCTCTGTATGTACTAACTTAATCCTGCTATCACTTTCCAGTGACTAGTGTGGCATTTTAATTGTTCAGTTTTCTCTCACCTACATCACCTTATTGTGTAATGTTCTTTTCATGCCTCATATTTCAGGTTATAGATGCGTGTGCTAAAGGGAATTTGGGCCGTTTCATTAACCATAGCTGTGATCCTAATTGCCGTACAGAAAAGGTGATTGCAGTTTCAACTGCGCTTTACACTTTGTCCAAAATTTTGCTTTCATGTTCTATTCAGTTTTCGTAAAGTACGGCAATCTCTTCTAAAAAGGTTTTGTACGAAAACCAGGAATTCCTTTCCCTCTATTGGCCCTTCTGCTGCCTCATTTTGTGTATAGTTGCCTTGATTGGACATGTATTGTTTATATAGGAGATTAATATTAACCCTCAGGGTTAGCCTGGTAGCAATTGACTTGAGCCTTGGGGTTTGCTCCCTTTCAAGGTCTCAAGTTCGAAACCCACTGGGTGCAAACAATTTCTGAGGGCCATCGGACTGGGTAAAACCTGAATTAACCGTGGTGCACTTGCGGTAAACTCCTTGCCGAGGGCCTGTGCACCCCTGGGATTAGTCGGGGCTCAAAGAGACTCGGACACCCGGTGCAAATCAAAAAAAAATAAATATAGGAGATTAATATTGTTTGTAAAGCTGAATGGTGCTTTTCTTTTATTTTTCATTGGGAAAAAAGTGCTGCAATATGCAAAAAAGGAAAAAGAGTTTTGTGCTAATGCATTTGGATTACATGATTTCAACTATGTCTATCTCGTGACATGTGCACTTTCAAGGCACATATTTTTACTTATATGAGATGCATTTTAGAATGAAATCGTCATTTATATGGTAGCAAATGTTCCCATGTATCATTTGGTTTGATTCAGTTCTAAATTACACCACCTGTAGAGTTCTTTGTCATTGGGGATGCAATTCTCTTTGACTTCTTCTGTGGGTAATGCAATATTTGGCATTTTGCCCCAAGTTATTATAGTCACGAGCCAGACCTTTTCTAGTACCTGTTGCTGCTGAATTATATCCTCATTGTGGAATCATCCTTTGCTACTTACTGTCAGAGACCTGTAATGCCACTTTCTTATAGCTTTAGTGAAACATTGTACAGATGCTAACCTGTCTTGCTTTGGATTGAGCCTGTGGTTGTGGATTTCTGTGGTTGTCACTTTAAGATCTGTATTATTAATTTTAACCATTCATTATATATTTTTCAAGCTTCCAGTGATGTACGGAAACCTAGTGTTCTTTTTCCTTTAGAACTATGTTTAATAGGTTAAACATGTGGGTGTATTCTTATAGTGTATCACCAGAGGATACAACCACCTCTATGCAAGTCACAAGCTCAAATAGTGAAATACAGAAAAATATGCAGAGAACTGTAAAAAATACCTTGAATGTTCTTTCAGAATTGTGCTAGTCCTGATAGGAATTCTGCTTCTCCATGAAGCGAGCAGAATGCGGAAGAAGTCAAACATCACGTAGGATTTAATTATAATAAGAGCAAAAATTTACTTGCCATGAAATGCCTCCATCTTCTTCCCATCGGATGTACCAAAATAGTCTTCCTGTAACATCATATCGCCACACTATATGCGGGTCCTAAGAGAAAATTGGATATTTTTCACCTGTGAAAAATTATCCATCCTCTTTTCTTTATTTTGTCTTGTATGTTCTGCTTATTACAGTGTGACACCAAAACCATCATCATGCACTTCTATAGTTCTACTTTAATGCTCGAGCAAATTAGCAACGTGATACTATTTTTTTCTAAAATATTCTGAAGTTTGCAGAGTTATTCATTGAAAGTAAAATTCTAGAGAAGTTTAAGTGCAGAACTGACAGGTTTAAATACCAAAAAATTGGATATAATATTACCATATATTTACTCTGATAAGGTACTATTCTAGTATCTGATGTACCTCTAATGAATTATGCTTCTAAATCAGTGCAGCTTAATTGATATTAATCATCATGATCTAATTCAGGAGTATTGCTTTGTTTACTCAGTCTACACATAAGTATAGTAGGCCACTTCTTATTGGCTATGGAATGGCTAATTATTGAAGCTAGGACTGTCATTGGCTGCTTACTGTAAAACAACGATAGGAATAGAGCTTTCTTATTAACATTTTCTATCTATTAGACTTGTATTGCAAAATACTAAGATTATTATTTTACCTTGTTGGTTGGTCTCTCAACTATCCGTGATTGACTACAGCCAATTTTGTGTTTGCAATTTCATCCTATATTCTATCACTGGTGATAAGTAGATAAGTGCATCTAAAGAGTGCACCTTAATGTGAATTAGATCTTTCGCTAATTGCATGAAGATCAGTCCAGTCCCGTCCCCCTCCACCCTCCACCCTCCCCCTGCTCTTAATGTCTTCAGCAGAAATGCTTGATATGTTTTTAAAGCTTGTTCTCTGTACACATTAACATAGATTGAGTACTGTTGTGACTCAACTTTCTTTCGTTGCTGAGACAGTGGATGGTCAATGGAGAGGTTTGCATTGGACTCTTTGCTCTAAGGGATATCAAGAAGGTAAAGTGTCTCGTTCTGATTGTGATTTTGCTGCAAATGTTTTACAATTTACAGGATGGTTGTTGCTTTTTCCTAGTTAGTGAAGTAGAAAAATGGATTCTTCTCATGTCTTACTGGACATTCCAGTTATATGTAAGGGCAACGAATACATAAGGAGTAGTTCTGAGATCTTTAACACCTAAGCTGGGGAATTTGCATTATGGTCCCCGTGGTAGTTATTGGCGTGTTGTTACAATCACCATAACATTCCATTATCACATTTAGCAAGTGCTTTGGAGATTGTTTATATACTTCTTATTTTAGTAGGTTGTCAGTGAATACATGCATACTGCTTGCAGAGAGAAGTTACTCTTCCAAAAAAGTACAATCAGCCAAAAAAGACATTGTTATGAATTAAGATTTGCCACTTAAAGGGCAATTCATGGTAGAATTGTTGGTAGAATCTGGGTCTAATTTTAGATGGGTCATTTAGTTGTTCTGGCCTTTGGGCCTTGATTATAGAGATGTGTTTGGGTTGCATTCCCTATTACTTTGTTCTTGTAAAAAAGGAATTTCATGTGGAAATATGTTGAGATTATGTTCACAGATAATGAGTTTCAAACTTCTGAAAACATTACTTATCTGCACGTGGACTCGATCCCTATTGCAGATTTGAACAGGGGATTGTGAAAACTCTATGTAGGCACTCTTGAAGAGGTGTATTAACTATTCTTAGTTGTGCTAAATGCATGGTTTTCGAGAGTTAGCACTCACTTCTAAGCTGCAGATTAACTGTTAAAGCTTTTTAACCCAAGACTTGCCCTTCAGTTATGTTGCACTATTTATAGGATTTATATATTCCTATGAAATGAGTTCAAGTCTGTGTAGGTGCAATGAAGAGAGTCTTTTAACTATTGCCTGTTGCTAGGTAAGTACTTGTTGGTGTTTCGAAGTTCACTAAAAATGCTTTAATTTTCTATCCTAACTGTAGCAAGTGGCATCCATGTGTCAAAGAAACTGTAGCAAGTGGCATCTACGTATCAAAGAAACTGTAGCAAGTGGCATCTACTTATAAGTTTTGCTGTAGCAAAAGTGGCATATGAGCAAGCAATGTTCATTTGAACCCGGATCTTAGCACAATGAGAATAGTGATGCTTGAGCTTTCCTTACATAATCTAGTTAAGTTAATTTTACAGATAATTTCCCAGAAGAAAATTGTAGTCTAGGTCTAATTTGTTGAATTTGTTTCTTCAAGCTACTTAATGGATGAACAGAAAGTTAAGTGCTTTCATTGGACACCGATAATTTTGTGATAGGTCATCTGCCTGTGATGATTTTAATAGTACTCCAGTTTTCACTTGTTATCAAGGAAAAGGTCTTATTTTTTCTCCTTCTGGAAAAAATAAATAACAATGTAGTTTTAGTAGTACACTTGTATTAGCTGCTGAATTCTTGAAGGAAGTTTAAGTAGTTTTGACTCGGAAATATAGTTTAGGTTTTTTCCTTTTCTTCTCCCCTACTCCCTCTATGGAAAAGGATTTACATTATATATACACGTTTCACTTTGTTTTTTTAGATGGGCGTTTCGCTTTGTTTTATCATCTAATTTTTTAACCAACATCGTTGAAGTGCAGCAAATTAAGTGCTTGGATATGGGCTATCACCTGCTACCCTTAAGTTTGTTAAATGCAATAAACCAAATGAAACCTCTTGGCCTCTTTCTACTGTTGGAATGTTTTCCATCTTTCTATTCTGCTCTCTTTTTTCTTTTTCGCCTTTTCCTTAGCAGAAGCCTGTTTCTTTCTCTGCTTTTCATGTTTCTGGTGAGAGGCGGGTGGGAGTGATGGGAAGAAGTAAATAGGCATGCTTATCCAACTGGTTCCTGGAATCTATTTGCTTCACAAGTT